CAATGTGTTTGAAACATTTTTAGTTAAAGAGCTTGAAGTTTTCTGGGAAAGCTGGGGTTGGAGCAGAGAAATCCCTAGCATAGTTTGTAAAACACCTCTTTGAAGCATTATGAGATATTGTCCTCACCAGGATACTTCACAGGTTTATTAAAACATGATTAAAAGCAGGGGATCTACGGCTGTTCTATAAAATATATGTTCCCTGCAGGGTCTTTTTTCTGCAACATTCGTTTTCCCAGCCCTGCCTGCCATCTGTCTTCTTGAGTAATTCTTTAAAACTGTGGTTCCCAGAGATAAATGGGGCCTTGTGCCAAGTGACGTGTGAAGCCTCAAGGGAAACCAGACATCTTCACAGGGCAGCGGTTTTACTTGATGTAAGAAAGACAGTTTTATGGTACTACAAACCTAGGTGTTAGAGAGTAAAGGACATATTTTGCATAATGTTTTAAAGACAAAATCAGGTTTTGTTTTTGAGGCAGACCATTTTGTGGACACATTTCTGCAGGCTATAAGTCAGAAGAGTTGGAGAAGCAAATGCACTCCCAAGTAGATCTACTTATGGACTAGCTTTGAGTCTTAATATTGAATAGAAGTTACAACTCGTAAAGAACCATCATTACAAATGAACTGTTCTTGATTTCGCGTATAGACTTTTAATTATTCCCGTAGAGCAGAAGAGACAGATCTGTTTTATTAACTTCCTTTCTCAATCTGAACACTCCATGCATTTCAGCCATCCTGCTTTAAAGTCCGTCCTGGACCTGGTGGCTAGTTTCTGGGCACAATGGAATGGGAACATTCCATTATCTGGCCATTTAATTCTGTTAACATGGAGGAGACTGTTTCAGTTACTTTACCAGCTTCATCATCATTAGATTTGTGATCAGGTAACAGCCTTAGTTCCCTTTGTTTTCAGCTCTTTTCAGTCCAGTAGTTTGGCGTTTACAGTTTTTTTTTTAACCTTTTTTAAAAAAAAATTATAGAAAAAAGTTTTATTTTTAATATTTTTTAACCTTTTTATTAAGGTTTTTCAAACCTTAATAGAATTTATAAATTTCAGTTTATTTGATTTCAGCTCAGTTTTCTTCATAAGAACAGATTCCATATCTGTATGTATCCTTCCCATGACTTCATTTTTTTATAAATAAGAATTTTGAAACTAAGCCTTTAAGAACATTCAAATACTTCTTGAGCATCCTATCCCCTGCCAGGTACTGTGCTAGGGTTCAAGGTCCACACACACACGAATAAAATAAAAGTTAGGACAAATGTTAGAGATATACAGTGATATGTGATAGAGGGAGTTGGCCTGATTAGGAAGGTGATAATCAGGCTGGCAGTGAGTTCTCAGTAAATGCCAGCCACCGGCATGAGCGCTTAAGAAGTACCAACTTGGCCCTCAACATCTCTGTGATGAAGATTCTTATTATCAGGCAGACAGAAGTTAAGGTCTCCAAAAAGTACACAGCTGATAGTGGTGAAGGAAAAGCAGGAGTTAATTGGGCAGATTCACTGGAAAAGCTTTTCTGGCAGAAGAAACAGTACAAAGTAGGAAGAAGCATGGTAGTCCAGGTAGTGAAAGGAAGTACAGGTGGAGCCAAAATGATAGTGAGGGGGAGGGCTGCCAGGGGCAGGGAAGGGCTGAAGAGATAGGCAGGTGTCAGAACCCGTCTGTAAGGCATGCAAAGAAGTTTTGATATTCTACAAGCAATGGTAAATCATCTTCATTAAACAAGAGTGATGATAGAAGTATTGTGTTTGATAACAATCATTGGCTGGTAAGGCAAGCACAGGAAATGTACTTTGAGTTTAGTAATGTGTATAGGTTGAAATAGTGTGAAGCCCTGAAGCAAGAGATGGTGAATAGCTTGGTCCATGAAGTAGATGAAAGAAAGTATCCAACTCTTCCTGACCCCATGGACTGTAGCCAGGCTCCTCTGTTCGTAGGATTTCCCAGACAAGAATATTGGAGTGGGTTGCTATGCCCTTCTGCTGGGGATCTTTCCAACCCAGGGATTGAACTGGGGTCTCTGGCATTGTGGGCAGATTCTTTACCATCTGAGCCACCAGATGGAATCCAGAGATACTGGCAACTAAAACAGGAGCAAGCGAAGCTTAGATCAGGAATTGGAGGAGAGGAAAGTATCAAGGATGATTTCTTTGCTTCTGGGTTGCTATAACTGATAAACATTAAGTAGCATAAAAGACAAGCAACACTGAGGGGGAGTTCCCTGGTTCATCGGTTAGGACTTGGCGCTTTCACTGCCGTGGTTGAGGATCAATCTCTGGTCGAGGAACAAAAACCACAAAAGCCTCACAGTGCAGACAGAAAAAAAAGAAAAAAGCAACAGTAGAGAGTCAGACACAGGGAGTAGAGGGTGAGGAGTTCAATTCCAGTTGAGTTGAGTGGACACATGCAAATGATGGTCAGCGCTGTAAATACTGGTTTGGGGCTCAGAGGAGAGCACCAGTGCTAGAGATCTGAATCCTCTGTTTTGGCGATTATTAAAACAGAAAGTGCAGGTCATCCCTGGGTATCCATGGGGCATTGGTTCCAGAAGCCCCTGTGTGTACCAAAATCCTTGGATGTTCACGTCCTATTAGTTTGATCTTCCTGTCCGTGGATTCAAGGGTTGACTGTTCAGTTCAGTTCAGACGCTCAGTCGTGTCCTACTCTTTTCGACTCCATGGACTACAGCATGCCAGGCCTCCCTGTCCATCACCAACTCCCAGAGCCTACTCAAACTCATGTAATCATGTCAGTGATGCCATCCAATCATCTCATCCTCTGTTGTCCTCTTCTCCTCCTGCCTTCAATCTTTCCCAGCATCAGGGTCTTTCCAATGAGTCAGTTCTTCACATCAGATGGCCAAAGTAACGGAGTTTCAGCTTCACCATCAGTCCTTCTAATGTATATTCAGGACTGATTTCCTTTAGGATGGACTGGTTGGATCTCCTTGCAGTCCAAAGGACTCTCAAGAGTCTTCTGCAACACCACAGTTCAAAAGCATCAATTTTTCAGCACTCAGCTTTCTTTATAGTCCAACTCTCACATCCATACATGACTACTGGAAAAATCATAGCCTTGACTAGATGGACCTTTATTGGCAAAGTAATGTCTCTGCTTTTTAATATGCTGTCCAGGTTGCTCATAGCCTTTCTTCCAAGGAGCAAGCATCTTCCAATTTCATGGCTGCCGTCACCATCTGCAGTGACTTTGGAGCCCAAAACGATAAAGTCTGTCACTGTTTCCATTGTTTCCCATTTCTATTTGCCATGAAGTGATGGGACTGGATGCCATGATGTTAGTTTTCTGAATGTTGAGTTTTAAGCCCCCTTTTCACTCTCCTCTTTCACTTTCAAGAGGCCCTTTAGTTCTTCTTCACTTTCTGCCATAAGGGTGGTGTCATCTGCATATCTGAGGTTATTGATATTTCTCCCAGCAATCTTGATTCCAGCTTGTGGCTTCATCCAACCTGGCTGACTGTAGTTGTCTGTTAAGCATCTACTCAAGGGTCAAAAAGCAAAGGCCTTGGAGATACTCATTCATGGGTTCTGGCCTCAGCGCAGTCACTGAGAGTCCTTAGACAAGTTATTTAAATCTGTTATTTGAGCCTGTTTCCACACTTGTAAAATAGGAGGACACACACTGAGTTCCCAGGGTTGTAAAGAAAGATAAAATACCACATGAGCTGGCTCAGCTGTAAAGAATCTGCCTGCCAATGCAGGAGACAGGTTCCATCCCTGGGTCGGGAAGATTACCCTGGAGAAAGAAAAGGCAACCCACACCAGTAGAACAGAGAAGCTTGGTGGGCTACAGTCCATGGAATGGCAAAGACTCGGACACAACTGAGCAACGAAACAGCAACACAGTAAGTACAAGATAAAATACCGCAGGTAAATTATCTGGTACCAAACTGCTGTGACCCACTGCTCCTCTCACCCGCATTTATGCTGCTTTTTGGATCTTTAAAGATAGTGTTAGAGTAGTCCATAATGCCTACTGATGGTTGCTTGCAAGGGCCTAATTAGAACATTTTGTCCCTAAAATTCAACCCCACCTACCCCGACCTGCTACCTCCTCCCTTCCTCCCCTGCAGGCTATTGGCAAAATTTCCAACAGGTAGACTTCACTTTGTGGCTTAAGGCTTTGAACCCTGTTAACAATCGCACTGCATCAAAAGGTGTGGCCCTATCTCCAGCCTTTTGGGCATGGTCTGGGGATGGGTGGCTTGCACTTACTCCTTGGAAGGAAAATTATGACCAACCTAGATAGCATATTAAAAAGCTGAGATATTACTTTGCCAACAAAGGTCCATCTGGTCAAGGCTATGGTTTTTCCAGTGGTCATGTATGGATGTGAGAATTGGACTATAAAGAAAGCTGAGTGCCGAAAAATTGATCCTTTTGAACTGTGGTGTTGCAGAAGACTCTTGAGAGTCCCTTGGACTGCAAGGAGATCCAACCAGTCCATCCTAAAGGAAGTCAGTCTTGAATATTCATTGGAAGGACTGATGCTGAAGCTGAATCTCCAATACTTTGGCCACCTGATGTGAAGAGCTGACTCATTGGAGAAGACCCTGATGCTGGGAGAGACTGAAGGCTGAGAAGAAGGGGACGACAGAGGATGAGATGGCTGGATGGTATTACCGACTCGGTGGACATGAGTTTGAGTAGGCTCTGGGAGTTGGTGATGGACAGGGAGGCCTGGCGTGCTGCAGTCCATGGGGCCGCAAAGAGCCGGGCACGACTGAGTGAACAGAGCTGGAACAGATCTGGTTTCGAGAGAAACCAGATAAGAAAATAGATGAGCATGTGCCTGACTTGAGAAAACGTCTGGCTCTGCTGTCTAGGGACTCCCCGGGGCAGCCGGGAGGGAGGGGGAAGCCTCCTTCCGCCCCGCCCCCCGCCGCTCAGCCCCGCCCCCTCGCCGCGCAGCCCCTCCCCCTCGCCGCGCAGCCCCGCCTTCCGGCTCCCTGCTCGCTGGGCGATCCCAGCCCAGGTGCCCGCAGTCTGCGCTGGGAGCCGGAAGCATGCACGCGGGCGGGGAGTTGGGCGCCGCGGCGGGCGGCTCGCTGCTGCTGTGCGCCGCGCTGCTGGCGGTGGGCTGCGCGCTGGGCCTGCGCCTGGGCCGGGGGCGGGGGGCGGCGGACCGCGCGTTGCTCGCCTGGCTCTGCTTCAACGCCCTGGTGCATTTCGCGCTGGTAAGTGTCCTCGCCTGGGCCCGGAAAACGCGGGCGGACGCCGCCTCTCTTGAGACCCTTCCCTCTAGTTTCCAGGAAAGGACGCGGACGCCAGGGACGCCTTGGCCGCACCGGGCCCTGTGGCGGGAGACCCGGGAATCACCTGGAGGCCGTGCTGCCCGTGGCCTTTGGCCAGATACTGCACCTCTCCGAGGTCCCAAGGCCGTAGCGCAGCTTCCCTAGTGGTGCCAGTTTCTCTACCAAATTAAACTAAACCAAGAAAAGCCGAACATTGTTATACCTCTATGGTACTGTTAGTCGGATTGTAAGCTGCCGAAAGGCCTTGGCTTGCTTGACTTCGTAACCTGCACATAGATGTTTAAGATAATTGAGAGTTTTTGAATGCCCCAGAGGCAGCAGGTAGGGGTGATGAGGTACGCTGGGGCCTGAACCAAAACCCCAAACCCGCTCCCAAATAGTAATCACTGTTTATTGGGTAACTACTGTATGCAGGCCCAATACTGTGCTTATGCAGTTGGATATGTGCACATATCAGATACTGCTGGAATGGAATGACGAAATTCCTTCTTTCCTAATAGTCAACTTGTGGAGGTTGTAGACGGGTAGACGGTAAATATTTCCCTCAACTCCTTTATTTATAGAATTGATTTTTTTTTTTTTTTTTTGGCTGCACGGGGTCTTAGTTGCAGCCCATGGGATCTTCAATCTTTGTTGCAGCATGCAGGATCTTTAGTGAACTCTTAGTTGTGGCATGTGGCATCTAGTTTCCTGACCAGGAATCAAACCGTGGCCCCCTGCATTGGGCCGCCAGGGGAGTCTCTAAAGAATTAATTTTTAAGCCGTCACTGAACACAAGGTGTCCAAGGAACAGGGGCGATAAAACAGGGCAATAAAACAAGGCCCACTTAAAGTGTATTATATCTTAGACACACAAAAAATGTATAAAAACATTAAAACATACACTCACATGTTTACCACCTGGTTTAAAATTAAAGTCTGCTTTTCAAGCACCGACTGCCAGGAAGCCCGGGCTGCATCTCCAGTTGTGGCACCTTGAAGTGTAGCCCCATGCATGCCCCACTCTCCTCCTTCATTCTGAAGGAAATTCTTCCCCCCGCCACCACCCCGGACCCATCTTGTGCTATTTACCTGTCCCAGCTGCAAAACATCTGACTGTTTGAATGTACCATACAGTACGTACCTTGAAGTGAAAGCGTTAGTTGCTTGGTCATGTCCGACTCTTTGTGACCCCATGGTCTATAGCCTGCCAAGCTCCTCTGTTCTTAGAATTCTCCAGACAAGAATACTGGAGTGGATTCCCTTTCCCTTTTCCAAGGGATCTTCCCAACCCAGAGATCAAACCCATGTCTCCTGCATCTCCTAATTGTAGGCAGATGCTTTGCCATCTGAGCCACCAGGGACCTGAATACCTATCTTGAATACATACAATGATCCCTTAATTCTAAAGGCACTTTTTTTTTTTTTTGATACATTACAACATCACAGTGGCATAACCACTGTGGGTTATTTTATTGATGTATTAAAATATACACACACACACACACACACATACACATATATATATATTTGCGCTTCCTTATGGCTCAGTCAGTAAAGAATCTGCCTGCAATGCAGGAGACCCAGATTCAATCCCTGGGTCAAGAATATCCCCTAGAGAAGGAAATGGCAGCCCACTCCACTATTCTTGCCTGGGACATCCCAAGGACAGAGGAGCCTGGTGGGCCGCAGTCCATGGTTTTACAAGAGTCAGACACGATTTAGCCAGTAAACCACCACTAAAAAATATTTATTCATTGGTTTGACTGCACCAACTCTTTGTTGCAGTGCTCGGAATCTTTTACTTGTGGCATTCAAACTGTTTGAGCAGCATGTGGGATCTAGTTCCCTCACCAGGGATCGAACCTGGGCCCCTTGCAAGGAGAGTGCGGAATGATAGCCGCTGGATCACCAGGGAAGTCCCTGATATTTTATGTCTCTGGAATTAGGTTGTATCTTATAGTTGATAATGAAATATGATAAATAAAAGCATGCTCATTAATATTGTCTGGTTAAGTTGACTGTTTACACACGATGCTTCAACCAGCGTCTTGGTACACATATCTTAGAGACTGGTGAGAAGGGCTCTTAAGTGGTTGAGGCCTGCAAGGAAAATGCATGTCTGTATTATCTTTGAGATGGTTGGGAGTTGGTTGCGAGAATACCCAGAAATCCAATCTGGGCATTGCTAAGATTTGAATAGAAAGACTGGAGGAGGTCTGAAACCCCAACTCGCTTGTTCCCACTGGAACCTGAGCTGTCTCTCCTCACCCCTTTTGACTTGACTTCTCAAACTGAGGTGATGTCTGGGTCTGTTGGCCACCATCAAATGCCGAGCTCCCCTGTTGCACAGAGATTCAACCAAGCATTGCCAGAGATGGTTCAGCTCCCTGATATCCAATCAGACACTGGTTACCTGGGGCTGCAGCTCTGACCTTCAGTTCACCGGTTATGGCCGGGATGGAAGACTGGTTGGTTTCCTGTCTGATGGGAGCCATGGTGACATCCATGAAGAAATGAATGGTTTGGCTCACCATTGCTCAACAGATGCTATGGGTGTTTCTTGCCATGGTGCTTCATGGGTTTTCCCTCATCTGTGAACTAAGTATAGCATTCTAGGCATTGCCAGGGGGCTTTCCAGGTGGCACTAATGGTAAAGAATCTGTCTGCCAATGCAGGAGACACAGACCCAGGTTCAGTCCCTGTGTCAGGAAGATCCCCTGGGATAGGAAATGGCAACCTGCTCTTGTATTCTTTCCTGGAGAATCACATGGACAGAGGAGCCTTGTAGGCTGCAGTCTGTGAGGTCGCAAAGAGCTGAAAACAACTGAGTGAGCACAGGCATGGCCAGAGCTTGGAGGCAGGGTGTATATGCCTGTTTGGGAAACATACAGAAGTCCAGATTGATTAGAAAAGAAGATTTACATCGGGTAAGACTCTAGCAACACGTGTCCAGTGACACCTGCAGACCTAGATGATTATCAAAGGCTTTGGTTTCTCCTTCTTCATCAGTGCTATAGTCCTCTGTCGGTATCTATGGTGGATTGCTTCCATAACGCCCTGGGATACTCAAAGCCACAAATTCTCAAGTCTCTTACATAAAGAAGGGGAACAGACTGGAAAGAGAACTTGAATTGCGGATAAGACTTAAAAGAGTTTTATTCTGTGGAAGGAAGCCATGGAAGTGTTTCAGTCAAGAAAGTAAGGGGGCCAAAGTCGATCTTGAAAAGATAATTTGTTGGTGGTGTGTTAAGTCACAGTGTAAGGGGTCTGAGATTTTACCCTTCTTCAAGCGAAGTTAGCCGTGTTGATTGCCCAAGCTCCACAGGGCAAGACAGTGAGGGCCAGATGGTACCTGCACAGGCTGGGGGAACAACCCCCAAATTAGGTTCCCATCTTCTGTGGAGCTCCTGGTGACCTGCTCCTGCTTCTCTCTGGAGAAAGACCTTATCTTTACTCAGAAATGTAAACCGATCTTCTCTGAGGAAGAGGAGGTGAGGTCTTTATCTTCACTACCCTGAAACATCTCAGGAAGGAGAGGTCTCTAAGTCCTACTACTCTGGAATGTCTCCTTACACACATATTCTTTTTTTTTTTTTTTTAATAGTTGTTTTTTTTAAACATATTAGCTTTTCTTTTTAAAGTAATTTTATTTATTTTTGGCTGTGCTGGGTCTTTGTTGCTGTGCAGGCTTTTTCTCTAGTTGCAGTGTTAGTTGCTCAGTCATGTCCAACTCTTTGGACAGTCTGACCCCCTGGACTATAGCCTACCAGGCTCCTCTGTCCATGGGATTCTCCCGGCAAGTATCCTGGGGTGGGTTGCCATTACCTTCTCCAGGGGATCTTCCTGACCCAAGGATCTTGGTTGTGGCGCATGAACTCTAGTTGTGGCATACAGGCACCAGAGCCCGTGGGCTTTAGTAGTTGTGTCCAGAGCCCATGGGCTTTAGTAGTAGTTTAGTGCTTAGGCTCGGAAGTTGTGGCACTGGACTTAGTTGCTCCACAGCATGTGGGATCTTAGTTCCCTGACCAGGTATCAAACTCACATCCTATGCACTGCAAGGCAGATTCTTAACCACGAGACCACCAGAAATATTCTTAGTGTGAATGCCTGTACTTAGACACCCCAGCCAGACATTGCAAGAATAGGAGATCTTTATGGAAAGTTGTCTCCTCACAAATGCAGGGTGGATTGGAAAGGATAGTTCAGGGGCAAGAAGATCAGCTAAAAGCGATTGCAGTATTTTAGGAATGAGAAGAAAGCTGAGCTCAGGTGGTGATGGAAGTTAAAATGAGGAGGAAAGTGAAATATAAGAGACTTTGCAGGGAAGAATTTTATGAGTCAGAGTAACCACTTACACACTGGGAGTGGAGATGATCTTGGAGTTTAGAATTTGGCCGACTTGGATAATATTGATATTGTTAACAAGGACAAGAAAGTCTGATTTTAGAACTGTGAATCTGGGACTCCAGGGTGTAATTGAGGGGAAATGGTTTGAAGGCACTGAAAATGTAAGACCCACGGGAGAGTCAGGGTGGAACAGAGAGTTGGAAGTTCTTCACTGGACTGGAGCAGACAGTAGGAAGCCCTGGGGAGAGTGACTTCCGAATAAGAGAAAACAGAACGGTGAAAATCTTGGGGGATGACAGCAGAGTCTTTTGATATTGCCATTGAACAACCAGGAAGAGGAAGATCCAGGAAGGATCTTGGGGGCAAGGCCAAGAACAGGATATAGTGCTAGGTTCTGGGAGCCAAAGAAGGGAATTTCAGGATCACCATGAAATGTGCAGCACTATTATAAAAATAAAAAGTTCAAAAAAAGTGAAGGCCGAGCCTTTTGGGACCAGCCGTCAGGAAGTGGATGTAGATGGGATTGCTTGAATGGGGGCGCCAGCAGCCAGGGGCAAGGGTTTAGCAGGTGGGACCGGGGGATGTGGACTCAG